CGTCGATGATGATGATAATGATGTTTTTAACGGTATTCATGATGACGTTGCTGCTGGCTGCTGCTGTTGGTAGTAGTGGTGTTCGTCGTCGTGGTGGTGGTGGTGGTCGTGGTGGTGGTTGTCGTGGTGGTGAGGTTGGTAATAGTGGTAGTGGTGGTCGTGGTAGTGGTGGTCGTTGTGGTGGTGGTAGTCGTGTTGGTCGTGGTGGTGGCGGTCGTGGTGGTGGTTGTCGTGGTTGTAGTGGTGGTCGTGGTGGTAGTAGTAGCGGTCTGGTGGTGGTGGTGGTCGTGATGACGTCGGTTTCTAATTTTCCTTTTGATTATTGCCTTTTTTCCAGGGCATCGTCTTGATTTAAGCAAGGCGAGTAGAAATTTGTTTGTTGTTATTAATCCTCTTTGTAATCATCATCAGCATCATCATAATAATAATAATAATAATAATAATAATAATAATAATAATAATAATAATAATAATAATAACAATACAAGTTCTTATTATTTTTATTGTTTTTTTCTTTATTATATTGTTATTATTATTTTTGTTTTTTTTTCTACAATTTATATGACGTCATGGTTTATAAATAGACCGGGGTTAAATGACCTCTCTAATAAATGATTTATACCATTTATTATAAAAATAAATATATATATATATTTATATAAATAATTATATATATATATATATGTGTGTGTGCTTGTGTGTGCTTGTGTGTGCATGCTTTAGTTTGTGTGCGTGTTGGTAAAGTAATTTTCGCGCTCTTTAATTTATCTTTTGTCTCCACGCTGACAAATTTTTAAATATTTCCTTTTGTTGTTGTTGCTATTGTTGCTATTGTTGTTGCTAGTGTTGTTGGTGTTGTGGTCTTCAAAAGGGGTTTTACAGCACTACAACTGCAGCTGATGCTGCTACTTTTTCTACTATTACTACTACTACTACTACTACTACTACTACTACTACTACAACTACAACAACAACAACTACTACTACTGCTACTACTTCTACTACTACCACAACTACTTCAATGTTGTTGTCAGTGTTGTCATCGTTGTTGTTGTTTCCAAAAGTTTCGGTTGTAAATTTTGCCAGTGTTGTCGAAGTAATGAACAAGAAAAAAAATTTTCTCCTCTCAAAAAATTGTATCCACAGAAGTATCGATCACTGCTAACTGGCTTTTCAGTAATTTTACTATTCGTGTTGCTACTAATACTACTGCTGCTACTGCTGCTACTACTACTACTACTACTACAACGACAGCTGCTATTACTGCAGTTACTGCTTTTACTTCTGTTACTACTTCCACTACTACTACTAATACTACTACTTCTACTACTACTACTACTACTACTACTATTACTACTACTACTACTACTTTACTACTATACGACAACTACTACTACTACCACTACTACTATTACTACTACTACAACTAACTACTACTACTACTACTACTACTACTATTACTACTACTATTACTACTACTACTACTACAACTACTACTACTACTACTACTACTACTTTACTACTATACGACAACTACTACTACTACCACTACCACTATTACTACTACTACAACTAACTACTACTACTACTAGTATTACTACTATTACTACTACTACTATCACTACCACTTCTACTACCATTGTTATTGTATCTACCATTGCATCTTGTAAAACTCACTACAAGAATTCTATTCACTGTAGTATTAATCACCCGTAACAAGCTTTCTAGTAATTTTATTACGTCGCTTTCTTACCACCACTACTACTACTACTTCTGCTGCTGCTGCTACTTTTGCTACTACTACTACTATTCTTGCTGCTACACTACAACTACAACCGTTGTAGTAGTGAGGTGGTTGTTTGTTGTGATATCACAATTTTTGCTAATGCTATTGTAAATCGTGACGTAATGATGATAGAAGTAGTAGTGGTAAGTAGTAGTAGTAGTAGTAGTGGTGGTAAGAAAGCGACGTAATAAAATTACTA